CGCGCTCGACACCTGGCTGCGGGGCGCCTCGCCGCGTGCCTCAGTTTCTCCCCACGTGCGAGTTGCCGCGGGGAGCCCCCTGCTCCCCGCCTGGCAGTGCCCAGGCACAGTCGAGGGCGGGAGACTACGAGGAAGCGGCCTCCGGTCCCGGGAGGAGAGAACGGCCCCCGCCGCTGCCTCCCCGGGCCCCCGCCACCCGCCGTTGACATGGCAACCGACCGCCGCCAGGGGGCGCGGCGGCGCTGGAGGAGGGGAGCGAGCAACGCCCCGGCCCTTCCAACCCCGGGCCGGTTCTCAGGGAGGCGTGATGAGACCCGCGGGAGCCCAGTGCCCGCCAGGCTGGTGCGGCCCTGAGTCAGCAATCACAAACACAGCTAACATTTACTCAGCGTCCTCGCGTGTCCGGGAGCGGTGGGCGTTCCTGCTGAATCCTCAATCTACGGGCGGGCCAGGACCACCCGTGAGGTGGCCCATTTCACAGAAGAGGGCCTTGAGGTCAGAGAGGTGAGCTGAACTGCTCAAGGTCACACAGTGACAGAGCTGGGACACGAGTCTGAAGAAGGCTCTGCTGACTCAGGTTTGTGCAGTCTGGCCGGGAGGATGGCGTGCTGCTGGAGGCCTGTGTCCTCTGGCCAGCTCCCAGGGCCTCCCTCCCGGCTGTGCCCTCCCCAGCTCCCAGCCCTTCTTCCCCAGCACCTCTCTGATTCCTTCCTGCCCCGGGAGCCTTCCATGGGCCTCTCAACAACCAGCCCCCTGCAAAGCTGTCTTTCCTGCTCTGCACCTGCTTTGTAGCCCACCCTATCTTCTGGGAGTGGAGCCTGAGGCCTGGTCTCCCCAGGCTGGCCTTTCCGGCTGCCCCTCACAGCACCTGCCAGAGACTCGGAAGTGAGGCTGCGTGTATTTCCCTCCCGGTTGTGACATGGGAGGCTCGTTACAGCTTCCTCCTGTGGTCACACAGGTCTATCCTGTTTCCTCACTCCCGGACCTTTACACACACTCACGCACACTGACGTGAGGCTGTGCCCGGCCCACTATCTGGAGGCAGCCCCCCACTGTTACTCAACACCCCTTGACCTCCACGTGATCTCATGGGGGAGGCAGGGACGTGCGCGTGGTCCTGATGCCCCAAAGGAGGGGAGGGCCCTGTCAGGGAGGGCCTGGAGGGCCAGGCTGAGAAGAAGGGGAGACCTCCCCAGGGACAGATATTTCAGGCACTGGTCTGGCCTCGGGAGGCCACTGGCTAAATTAGGGGTGGGGAGGGCAAAGAAGGGAAAATAATGATGATCGTGGTTAATTACAGCTCACTGAAGGAAAGTAAATGGCCGAAGCCCCAAACTTAGGAATGAGCTTGATTCTTGCTCAGCCCCACGAGGTGGCACCATTATCGCCTCCACTGTCCACAGAAGGACGCCGGCACTCAGAAGGAGCCTGATTCTTGCTCAGCCCTACGAGATGGCACCATTACTGCCTCCACTGTCCACAGAAGGACGCCGGCACTCAGGGCCTAACAGCTGGCCCGTGTCCACAGTGGTACTTGAGCCAGGTCATCTGGCACAAACCCCAACCACTGCCCATGTCAGGACCTGAGCCTGGAGATACGCCTGTTGGCACAGGAAGCGGGGGTGGGCACGCAGAGATCTGCTATGGTATGGGGTGCTCCCGTCACCAGGCTCCTGGGCCCCTCACTATTTCTCATGAGCCCAAGTCATATCCTGTGGTTTGGTAGAAGTTCCGGTGGTAAGAGTGGCTTTATCATCATCACTGCTCCGAACCCCAACATCCGCCAGCCACCTCCCCCCACTGGGGCCTTCTGCTCTCCCTGGGGAGGAAGGTGGACAGGAGTAGTCAGGCACCCTTCAGGAGACCGGCTGGGTCTGGGAAGCCACAGCATCCAACCAGAGCGGCTTTCTCACTGACTTGGATTTCTGATTTGTCACTGAGGGAAACGCTTCCTGCTTTCTCCATTTGGCTAAGCTGGCAGCGACAGGCAAGTGGCCGGGACTTGGTAAATGTTCCCTGACTGACCCTGAGAAGTCCTCTGGTCCTGCAGCCATTTAGCAGTAGGGAAACTGAGGCACAGAGTAGGAAAGGGGACCACTGGTCAGGTGTTTGAGCCTGGCCTGGACCCTCTGTGTTCCTCCCCGAGCAGGAAGGGGGGGAGGGGGGACAGAAAGGAAAGAAGGAGGCAAGTCTGTGGAGCGGTGAGGGCTGCTCTTGGCTGCTGGACTGGCCCAATAGATAAGGAGTCACTAGAGAGGGGACACGCACAGTGACACCCACACCACAGGGACTGGCTCTGTGCCTAGCCCAGTGTTGACATGTCTGTCACCCTGGAACTTTACAGCCCCCCCCCAGAGGTGGCTGTCATCAGGCCCAAGCTGCAGAAGGGGAAACTGAGGCTCAGAGTGGGAAGTAGCCTGCCCAAGATGACACCACTGGGGGCCTGGGGGTCTGGATTTCAAAGCCAGGGTCACTTCATCATCATGCATTGCCCCCAAAATCAGAGAATGGGGTCAAGCTGAGAAAGTGCATGGTACCAGCAAATAAAGGCACAAGTGAGCATCATGTGGATCATACTCTTCAGTAGAAATGTTTTATTTCATTGCCTTGGGGACCCTTGAGGCTGATGCACTTGTCCTATGAACTGATGGGAGAAACAAGGCTGGAGGCTAGCGATGGCCAAGGTCACGCAGGTGGGGTCAGAACTCAGGTCATTTTGACTATGAAGTGGAAGGCCTCCACCCCTGTGGCCCCTGGCCAAGCGGCAGCCACTGGCGCACAGGTGGCTCAGAGGGGCAAGGGAGGAAGAGAAGAAAGCAGAGCAGCAGAGTTCTTAGGACACGCGGCTCCATCTGGCCCTGGGGCCTCAGCGACGCAGCGAGAGGAGGAAAAACCAGCACGCGAGTCTGGGTCCGGCCTGCGCAGGCCTGGAGCAGGAAAGCCCTCATGTGCTCAGGGCTGTGGCATGTGGGCCGGGCCGGGCTGGCCTCCAGGGAGGCTAGGAGGGCCTGTGGGCCAGCCACCCGCCAGCAGGTCCCCAGCCACACTCCCAACGGCCACTCGAGGCAGCACAAAGGGGCTCTGAGTCCCGCGGAGCCGCCACACTGAGCCCATTCATTCTCCCAGGATGCTGGCAGCTGCCCTGGCGCCCCAGCCAACGGCTGCCCGTCAGCCCAGTGCTGACCAGGCGCCTCCACCACCGCCACACAGCTTCCCCACGGCCCGACTCCCTGCCGCTGAGTTTTTCGGCCTGTGCCAAACCGCCCCTGGCTGAGCCTCCCCCACCCCTCAGCAGCGACCGCCAGGGGTTGCTGTCACCACAGCACGTGCACCCGGCCAACACCTGGCCTTTCCTCCCCACAGTCCCAGGAATTAGGCGCTGCTGTGACCCATTTCATAGACAAGGAAACAGATCGGAGAGGTAAGTGTCTTAGGAAGCATCACACAGGAAGCCAGCACCTGCGATGCCAGTCTCAGGGCTGAGCCCGAGGAGCAGGAGGCACATGCCAGGGAGGCCGCTGGACGCTCTCAAAGGCCTGGGGCTCTGTTTAATCTGTCTAATCTCTCTTCCTTGAGATGCGACCTGCCAGGGCAGGGTCAGGATCCAGGGGCTGATACAGAGACCGCAGCTCCCTGCCTGGCTCACAACACACACGTACCCGCTTCCTCCTAAGTCCATGGCCCAGAAACCCCGCTTTCACTGACCTGTGGACACTGGCCCGGGCAGGAGCCCGCCGCCTCTCTGGCTCCCCCTCCAGCCCTCAGGTTCCCCTCATGCTCCATCGACAGGCCTAGTCAGACGCCACCACCTCCCGCCCCAGGCCCAGCGTCCACCTGCCAGGGGCCTGCAGGAGCCATGGGCATGGCTGTTAGAACCTCAGGCTGCAACTCCAGGTAGGTTGGCACCTGGTGGCCTTGGTTTTCCCATCAGTTGAGTGGAGAGGAGAGAAGTAGGTGTTCACCCCTTAGGGCAGAAGGACCCTGGCTGGAAGGACCAAGCAATCCCAAGATGGTCCTCATTGTTTTCATAGAGGATGCAGGAGGACCCCATTTGAGTTCTGTACCCTCTCTTGCAGCCCTGGTTGCCAGCGCCGGAGGCCAGGGATTTAACGTCTAGACTTGCTTTTTTGGCCCATGCTCGCGATCAGGTGACAGGCTTCTGAAGCAGCAAAAACTTGTTCATAACACAGAGCTGGGGTTGGAAGCACCTGGCCTTGCACCCCACCCCCACCCCAATCTCCACAGGTGTCTGCAAAAAGTGTGAGGGGAGATTTCATTTCCTTATTTCTGTTCCGCTCACGTGCGCGCACACGCGGGTGCACACACACACAGGTGGTCGGCTGGCGAAGCGTCAGGCTGGGG